AGCACTATTTACAATAGCAAAAAGATGGAAACAACCTCCGTGCCCATCAGTGGAGGAGTGGATGACCAAACTATGGTACATACACATCATGGAATGCTATGCAGCACTAAAGAATAATGTAGAGTCTGCAAAACACCATATAATATGGATGAACTTGGAGGACATTATGCTGAGTGAAATCAGTCAGTCACAGAAGGACAAATATAGTATTAGTTCGTTGTTGTGGAGGGTCAAGGTAAGGTTTATATATGGAGGGAAACTTTCTTTATTGGTTCCCAGGGGTGGGAGGGGAGGGGAGGGAACACTGCAAAAAAGAAAAAAAATGCATTGACCCATGTCACTTTAGTTTTGTGTATTTCACTGTACATAAATTATATTTCAACAAAATGCATTAGAAAAAAGAAAATAAATTATTTTTAAAAAATTGCAGCCTTGGAGCCAAGAGAGTCGGGAAAAAAAAAAAATTAAAGCCCATACTCCTGGATGGGAAGACTTACACCTATACATCACACCTCTTAAGGTATTATATAGATTTGGTTACATTTTGACCAGTTTGTGCCTTTGTTCCTGCTGTTTGCTCCCCATTCACCACCCTGAAACCTCTCCCTCACTGCCTCTCCTCCCTAAAAAAAAAAACAAACTCACTGCCATCGAGTCATATCCAACTCATAGGGACCCCTCCTTGGGTTTTGAGGTGGTATCTCTATGGAAGTAGATTGCCCAATCTTCCTTCTGTGGAATGGCACTATGCCACCAGAGCTCCCTACTTATCCTTTAAAACACAGCCTCTCATTCTTCTTTGTGCATACTGATTTTAGAAGGCTAAGGTTACTAAACCCAACCACAGCCTAAGAAACCCCTGCATCATTAAAAGACCTGGAAGGTAATGACTATGTGGAGAGTATTCGGTAGGGCTGAGGGCACTAACTTCTCAATGCTGCAAACGATTATTTAGTTATGGAAGCATTGATGGCTCATTGAATTACTGATCTAGTCTGAGGCTAAAGAATGCTCTAAGAACAGATACTTGGCACACCAACAAATGAACGAACAAACAAGTGTTTACCCCAATATGGAAGAGAGCGCTAACAGGCTTGTGGTCGCTGGTTTTCAGTTCCATGTGACTCCGGTAATGAAGTTGATTGACATTTGTTCCTCTCCAAAGAATTCGGTCACACCAGGCTGGAACACGACATTTCCCACTACAAAGAAAGAAATGACTTATACACAGAACACAGACCATACCACAAAAGAATACCATGCTCACCGCACTCGTTCAGACCCAGGTTAGACCTTTCTATTATATGCTCCCCCAAAACCATGTACTTCTCCTTCCTAAAAATCCTTGCTATTCTCTTTCCTACTATATTGCAAGCTCTATGAAGGGACTGTGTCTCTTTGTTTGCCACTGAACTCCCAGCACCTAGCACAGTACTCTGGGCAAAGTATGTGCTCAGTGAATAGCTAGCTAATGAATGAACAAATGGTTCTCCTAAGATTGGGATTACATTGCCAGAAATGTCACCACGGGGGGAAGTCTAACAGCATCCTCTTCAAACACCCTCAGAAAGTTAGGATTATACTCTGAACACTGCATGCTCTTTTGCTCTATAAATTACAAAGACACTTCACGCCAGATAGATAATGGATCAAATCTAAAAATCCAATCCTATATTCCTGGACTGGGCTAAATCTCTGGAGATGAGTAAGAGTAGAGATCCCTCCTTTAAACCTGGACTTCTATGGACAAGTCTAGCTTCTCTTGAAGAGAAGAACCAACATCTGGGCATGCAAGTCTGAGCATACAATGATCCACAGATTACTAAGGGTAGGGAAAAAAAAAACCTTATTTATCATTCTATTAGAATAAGCAAAACCTGGTATACCTGATCCAGACTGTGACACAAATACCAATAGCTCTTTAGTTGGCCTCAAGTCAGGAGAGTGGAAAAAATACAGCCAAGTGCACAAGATCTGTGAGTGTCACTTTTCATTTGCTGATCAGCAGCCTTGGAGCAGAGTAATACAAAACAGCTTCCTCCCCAGGCCACCCAGTGCTCTCCAGTTTAAAGCAGCAAATTATTCCCTTTCTATTTCAAACTTCTGGACTCAGCCAGCTAGGAAACTATAGGAAACAGGTTTTAGTTAAAAGATAACTAGTTACCAGGAACTTACTGACAGAGGCACTTTACTGGGGGTAATTAGGAAATCAAAGGGCCTCCAGACAGCAGTTTTCTGCCTATAACAGAGGTGGAGTCCAGGAGGCATAGTCCAGGGGGCATCATTATTTTTAATAGCACCCCAGGAGATTCTATGTGTACTTGGGATTGGGAACCACTGTGCTAGAAGAAACCTTCACAGATCTTTGAGTATTTTCACCTTCTTGTATCCCAAACTAAATAGTTGAGCAGCAGTTTTTTTTGGGGGGGGGAGTCATAACAGGGCAATAGGTAAGAAATAGGGACGAGAAATAAAGTACTTACAACTCCAACAGCTCTGACAGATAAGTGATTAAATTCCTAAGATACGCTATATGTGAGAGTTCAAACCTCAAACCAAAACCATCCCCTGAAGTCTTCTTAGGAGCTCTGGTGGTGTAGTGTCTAAAGCATTTGACTGCTAACCAGAAAGCTGGCAGTTCAAACCACCAGCCACTCCTCGGAAGGAAGACTGGGCAATCTACTTCCGTAGAGATACCACCTGGGAAACCCAAGGAGGGGTTGGTATGTGAGTTTGGTTTTTTGGTTGTTTTGAAGTCTTCATAAAATCAAACAATGGTTTGGCTTAACTAGTAAAGAATGTCAGCCTTGGGCATTGTGCTTTTAAGAACCATCTAAACAGGGTCAAAGTGACAACAGCTGCACGAAAGATTGGATAGGAACCTTACAGGGCAGTGAGTTTATGTTAATAGAGAAGGAACAACTCTGAAAGGAGGGTGCGAATGGATGCACAACTCCAAGAATGCAACCAATGTCCCTGAATTATACATGGAGAAACTGTTGACTTGCTGTGTCTATTCCCAAAAACAGTAACAACAAAATAAAATTAAAAAACAAACACACAAAAAAATCTCTTCTGTAATAGCACTGAGCCATTAGGTTTTTATATCTGCTTAGGGCATGACCTAGGAGCTCTGGTAGCATAGTGGCTAAAGCACTTGACTGCTAACCAGAAGGCTGGCGGTTCAAACCCACCAGCCACTCCTCGGAAGGAAGGTTGGGCAA